ACAACACCCTCCCTAGAGAGAGCCATCACGGAACCGCCTCGGAACCTGCCGGAACCCTTCGTGGAACCGCCCCGGAATCTTCCGGAACCCATGCCCGGAACCTCCCGGAACCCATCGCGGAACCGCCCCGGAACCTGCCGCAACCCATCGCGGAACCGCCCTAGCAACCTGCCAAACCCGTCGCTGAGCCGCCCCGGAACTTGCCCGAACTGATCACAGAACCGCCCCTTAACCTGCCGGAACTGATCGCGGAACCGCGGAACCGCCCCGGAACCTGCCGGAACACATCGCGGAACCGTTCCGGAACTTGGCGGAACCCTGCCGGAACCCGTTGCGGAACCGCCCCGGAATCTCCCGAAACCCATCGCGGAACCGCCCTGCAACCTGCCGGAACCCTGCCGGAACCCGTCGCGGAACCGCCCCGGAACCTGCCGGAACCCATCGCGGAACCGCCCCGGAACCTGCTGGAGCCCTTGCCCAATCTGCCCCAAACCTTATTTCGGCTGAAGACCCCATGCCATAGCTTACGCTGTTGGGGAAAAAGAGTAAACATAAACCCAGTCGTCGACTGGCTCCGGCCCGTCCGCCGTGCCTCCAGCTGCCGTTCCGCACCCGGTCATGCCGCCCTGCCGCCCGTCTCCGATGTGCTCGCCGAGCTTGTTATGTTCCCGGACGAGACATTGTGGCAGGCACTCCGCGACTTGACCCCGGAGGAGCTTAGGCTTATGCGGTTCCACGACCTCATCGGCTCGGCCTTCGCCGACCGCCTCGGCCTTACGCCGTTGAGGTTCCAGAACCCGCCGCCCGACATCGACATGGAGCAGGCCGTCCCGGAGCAGCCGGTCCCGCCCGTTGTTTCGGACGCCAACATGAGTGGCCCGCCCGGTGGCAACACCTCCGACCTCCTTGACCTCGGCGACGACGGCCCGCCCGCTCCCACGACGGTTCCTAGAGGTTCCCCCGCCCGAGGTCACACGCAGATCTGGCTACGTGGAGGGTGGCCCGTTGCCGAACCTGGAAAACCAGGACCATTGGAACCCGGCATGGCTTCGCCAATTGGACGACCTGGAGCCCGACACCTACGACTGGGTGGACGTCAACCCGCCCCTTCCGAGGGCGATGGCTGAGCATGGTCCGTGGTCGAACCGTGAGGGATGGAAGATCCGAGTGTGTTCGCACTTTCCGCTCTCACCGCAAACCATCCGCCGCCCGCACTACTGGCCTTTTCCGGATTTGTTTTGCATCCGCCCGGCCGACCACCCGAGTTGGCTCGAGCGTCAGATGCCGCCCCAACCCGTGGCACATCTTCCCGTCCGGGGGTACTGCTCGCACGTATGCGACCGGCACGCCTCCAATACCCATGGTTTCCGGTGCGTCGGCATTTGCCTCCGCCCGGTCATGTTTGGGGAAAGGGCCCCGCGTGAGCAGCACACCTGCATTAATTGCCTTAAGGGCCACTGAGCTCCGCCCGACCGCATCTTCCGTGAAAATGTGTCGTGCGAGCTCGGTGCCCTGTGTGTTTCCCGTTGTTGCTCCTGAACTGAACTTTATTCCCCTGCTGTCAGGACCGCCCTCGATCGTCTTCGCCGTCCAGGTTGGGAGTTCCACTTCTGAGGCCTAGTGATACTGATGCTGCCGTCAAACTCCGCGAGGTTTTGCAGGCAGGCTCCCTTGCAGTGAGTTCCGATGTCCGTTTGCAGCCTTCCGTCTGTGCTCCGCGTCCGGATGGTGCTATGCATTCGCCATCGCACGGCGGCTGTGGCTCTGCGTCTTTGTTTGACCATGCCCTGCGTTCTCCTTCTTTGTCCCCGCCTCCGGTTGACACTCCGCCTTCTCAACCTGGCTCCTCCTCCGTCAGCGGCTTCGAGGTCGTTTCCTCCACCGCTCCTCGGGATTCTGTGCGTGCGCGACCGGCTCAGGCGTCGCCCTTGCCTCGCACGCCCCTGCCTCGAGGCACGGCTCCTTCTTCGGTTGCGTCTCCTCTGTCGGTCCCCGCTGCGCTCCCTCGGCGCTGGGCCGACCCAACTCTGCTTATCGCCCGCGTGGCTTTCTGGAAGCCCGCCCTGCACCTCGGCTTCTCCGGTGTCCTTGCGTGCCCCTTTGTCCTCCTCGACTTTCGCGCATTTGCTGCCACCCGTGTTGCGCCTGCCCTCGGCTTGCGCTTCTGGTCAGTTCTCCGGGTCCCGGCTGCAACCCGTCTCCCCGGCTTCTGTGCATTTCCCTGCCGTCCCTGCTCCTGCTGCCAAAGCCACCGCTGCCTTCTCCACCGCGGGTCGCGTTCAGCTTGCCATGAGTGCTCTGTCCGCGCGCTGGATTGCCATTTTGATTGCGCTGGCTTCTGCATCCGCACTGTTTGTCGACTGCCAGGCCTCCTCCAACCCGGAGGCTCACATGTCCCGTGCCATTGCGAAGTTTGCGCCCTCCAATCTGGAGCGCTACTTTGAACAGTGGTCCTCTTGGTCCCGTCATTGTGAGCATGCGGGGTTCCACCCGACGTCCCCGCCCCCTGGTTTTCTTCCCGACTGGATCGCTTCTCGTGCTAGCGCCCAGGGCTTGGCGACCGCCCCTTTGAAAGCCCTGGCTTGGATGTGCAAAACGGCTGGCCTGCCTTCCTTGCGTGACTCTCTGTCCTCTCCATTGTGCCGGGACTTCGCTGTTGCCTCCGCCCCGTCTGAGCACCGTGAGAGCCTGCCGCTCAGCCTGTCCTTTGTCGTGTGTTTGGAGCAGTCCGTGTTGGATCCGAATACTTCGCCTGCGCAAGTTCTCCGCCTTGGCTTTGTGCTTGTCTGCGTTTGGGCTTCTCTGCGCTGGGGTGACTCTATTTGGGTCCCCCCCGCCCGACTGCAATATCAGCTGTCTGTGCAGGCCTTGGTTGGTGTTTCCGTCCGCACCAAAACCACAAAACGAGGTATGCCGTGGGGGCTTTTGGTGCATGGTTTCCTGGGCTCTTCTGCTTCTTCGTGGGCGCTCCGCTTCCTCTCGTGCCTGCGCCAGGCAGTGTCTGACACACTGGCTTTGCAGCCTACTCGCACTTTGGATTTTTTGCCAGCCGTCCTGTCCGGCACCGAGAGCCGCCCGCTCATCTCTCAGCCCTGGGACCGTGATAGCTTCGTTCCCTGGCTTCGTGACTTGCTCAGCCAACACTGGTCTTTGCACTCTCGTGAACCTCTCCCCTCCGTGTTTTCCTTGGTGGCTGCACAGTCTCTCAAAGCCACGATGCTCAGTTGGGCCCGTCAGCTCTCCATTGAGTCCGATGCTCGTCGCATCCAGGGGCATCATCGACTTTCCGGGGCCGACCGCTCCGTGGCCCTCTACTCTCGTGATGATATCATCCCTATGGTCCGCTTGCAGGCTCGTGTGGTCGCGGCTTTCCGCAATGGCTTTCGTCCGCTGCAGCCTGTTGGCCGTGGTCTGGAGGCCCCCGTGGCAGACTTCCCGGTGGCCCTCCCCTCGGGTACTCTTCCTTCCTTGGACTCGGCTGCTTTGCCGCCTGACTGCCTCCCCGGTTCCCCGGTCTGGCTGCCCGTCTCAATCCCTCCTGTGCCGGCAGATCCTCCCCCTCCCCTCCCGACAATCCCGGTGGCCCCCGGGCCTCCTGCTGACGAGGATCTCGTCTCACTGTCGTCGGAGGACTCCGAAGCTCCGCCCGCAGAACAGGACGACGTTGACGACTGGGAGGCCGACTTGGTCGAAAAAGCGGCCATCAAGGCTGCATCCTCCGCCCCCTGGCTCATGCATAATCCGCGCAGTAACGTGGTGCATTTTGCTCAGACTTGTGCTCCGGATGCCCTCCGTTCCATTCATATGCTTCGTCAGGACGGTTCCGCCGTGCACGTCCGACCCGCCTGTGGGGCGCAGACCCGCCAGATGGTCTCCGGACCCCTGCTATCTGCTCCGCCCGCCGGCTCGGTTTTGTGCCTGCGTGGCGCCTGCTTTTCCAGGCTTTCGCAGCTCGATTGACTCAGCTCCGCGAGCCAGTCAAAAGAGGACAGCGTGCTGCGTCTGCCGTCCTTGTCGTGTTTGACTTGCTTGCTGTCATGAGTGCGTGTGTGTCCGCAGCCGTTTTTTCAGGTTCTGCTGCTACAGTCTTGCCCCCCTCTCCCATCCTCATGGCGTTCGAGGGCAACGCGTCGGGCTCCGGTGGCTTCGACCCACCCGGCCGCTACTTTGCGCGGCGCGCCTCAGCAGCATCCGAACGAGGCCGGAGCCGACCCCGTCGCTCCGCCCTGCGGAATCGGTTGTCAGTGACGACTCCGACCCAGGCAGCCAAGCCCCAGTGGCTTCGTCTCCAGTGGCCCCCGGCCTTGGCTTCATTTTGGCACCGCCCGGTTACGCCTCTTCTGCGCAGTCTTCCGTGACCAGCCCGGGCTCTTGTGGGCCACCGTCGGTGATGTCAGTACGGGTTCTGAGCTGGTGGACCAACTATCCCTTCTCCGCCCTGACACCCGTGCTCGCATTGCTCGTCTCTGCATGAGGATGGACACGACGCCTGGGCCCGGCCCGGCGGCAGCCAAGCCAAAGTCGTTTTTTCCGCCGGCGGGCCCGGCCGTGCCTAAGCCCAACTCATCGTTCCCGCCGGCGAGTCCGGCTCCCACGGTGCCTGAGGCTCGTGCTCCGCCTGCCCCGCTGGACGAGCTCGGTTTCCCTCCGGAAGTTACGCCGGATGCTACGGTACCTAAAGCGCAGGCCAGATCGTCTTTTCCGTCTGCCCGCCCAACCGTGGTGCATCCGCCTCCGTGCCTTGTACAGTGTCCGACGCCGGGGTGCTTCAACCAATGCGGCCGTCCGGTGTACGGGCGCGGGCACCGCAATCACCTGTGCCGTGTTTGTCACCGCCTCCGAGGATGACCTGAGGTACAGGTGCTCCGTCCGCTCATAAGAAAAAAAAACTGTCCTCTGCCCTGCTTCGTGGTTGCATGTTTCTGTCTTCCGCATATGTTTCTCTCTGTCCGCAGCCATTTTGCTCTTTCTGCAGGTAGACTGTGCTGCCCTGGACTTTGGCATTATGCCCCCAGCTTCGCGGTTGGATGACCCTTCTGCCCTCGCTGATTTTTTGTCCTCCATCTCTGCCCCAGACACCCTGGCGGCTGCCATCAAAAGTGCTGGCTTTCATACTTTGGGTTCCTTGGCCTTCGCCCTTTCTGACCCCTCTGATCCTGAAGAGGTTATGAGGTTCATCCGGGTCATTCTCAAGATACCTGACGGCGATGCGACCGCCACCTTCCGTCCGGATGTGTCCTGCCTCCGTCGCACTGTTCTTGAGGCTTGCTCCATCGCACCTCCCCGGGCCGCCTCGGCCGCTGCCCCGTCGCAATTGCAGCCTGCTGCCCCACTTGCCTCGACCTCAAATAAACTTACGGCGGCCGATTTTCTTGCCCTTCGCAAGGACTACCTCACTAAGTATCCGGGCGAACTGCTGACACCTGCAAACACTCCGTCCGTCGAGTTCTTGTCTTTGATCCGTCAGCACCATGAGTCCGGCCAGTCAGTTTGGATTCCGTGGCGTCAGCGCACCTCTGAAGCTGATTTCCTGCATTGGGAAGAATCCCGCCGCCCCAGGTCCGACCGCCAAATGCTTCGATCTCTTCTGGACTTACCGGATGAAGCCACTGGCCCGACCTTTGGTTTTAGCATCAACGGTCCCTCTGAATCCGTTCTCCGGCGCTGTCTGGATCTGTTCGCCACTGCGTTGGCCTTGTTGGACCTGGTTCACTTAGCTACCATTAAACGGTTCAACGATAAGTTCTTTACCATGGCCACCACTCCGCCGTCGGACACTACCCTCCGTGCTCCTGTTCTGCAGGAAGTGGTCCACGCTGACCGCGCAATTTGGATGACAGTCTCCGCTCTGGTCCGGGACCAGTCTTGGTCCCTCACTGACAGCCTCAACGAGGTTGGGTTCTGCCGTCATGACATGCGGTTTCCATGCAACGGCTACAAAAAAGAGAAGCGCGAGTGCGAGTGCGTGGCCCACCGAGCACTCTTTCAACTCCTAGGGTAACGGACTAGTGACTAGTCCGCCCGAACGGGAGCGAAACCAGCCTGGAACCCTAAAAGGAGTAAACCCAGGCCTAAAAAGAGTAAACCCAAACCAAAGCCCTAAATGGAGTGAACCCAGACCGAAACCCTTTTCCTTGTATGAAGCATGCATGTTTCACATGCGCACCCGAGACCGCAGAGCGTGGTGCCCAGCAAACGTGACCGAAGGGTCCAGTGTTCGACAGGCGTCTGGAACGAACCCGACGTCGTTTTGGAAATGAACAACCTTCGGCCAACCGCTCTGTTGCCCGGTACAACCTCAGCACAAAACAGTGTCGTGTGTCGGTAGAGCAGTTTGTTGCTCCTTTGGTACAGCAGAGTGTGAGCATGCAGAACACGAACGATTCCTTCTCTTCGTCGTCGCTGAGACTGCCGTAGTTCTGTATACATACCGTCCTTCCGGTAGGTCGTTGTTTAGAGCAGGCTTTATTCTCGTTTCACTTGTACGGTTGCGCTCCATCATACCAGTCGTCGATCGCATCCTCATATACAAGCCAACTGCTTCGTCCATCGTATGATGGCAGTACCTCCTCTGTCGTCACCTGCTGGAAAGCTGAAAGACGGTTCAACTCCTGAGGATGTCTCTGATTTCTCGCTTGCGACTCGTGATTCTGAAAAAGGTATTTGTCATCTGCTTTTCCGGGCTCATATGGCGACCCTGTCTTTGGTTCGAGCCCCAGGGGTCCAGTCTTGCGTCCGTCTTCACCGACGTGGAGCGTGTCGGGGAATCTTCGGTCATCACCACCAAAGTATACCGGCTACCTTTTTCAAAGGAAGCCTACCAGCGAATACCTCTACGGGAGCTGCGCCACCACGTTGAGATGTAGACGGAACGTGTAGACCTTCGCAAAAGTAGAGTCCTACAAGCACACATGAGTCTCGCTTCTACAGTCTCACGCTAGCTGTGAGACCCTCATCCTTCGTGCTGTTTTGTGGTTACATCGACGTCAAAACTCAAGTTCTTGCACGACCTGCATGTTGGCACTTCGTTGGCAATGAGGCCTAAGCCGCAGGCAGTGTGCAGCGGTGTGAGGAAAACGCAAGCTGCACAGCGACATTGGCAAAGTGGCCAGCGGAATTCCTCCTACTGCACTTGACACCGCAGGCAAACAGTGCGCATGAGTTGGTGCAGGATCGGAAGTAGCATTGCGGGCAACAGTACGCTTTTTCTACGGCGCAGAACGGCGCAGTTAACCGGTGCCTGGCTGCTCTTGGCTTTGCGGAGTCATTCGGCTTCACTTTTTTGTATTTCGATTTGTTTGCTGAATTGGCCTTACTCCGTGTTAGAGAACCATTCGTTGCACATGTTCATCAGGAAGTTTGTACTTAAACACAGCGAGCAGCTCGTCCTTGAGAGTGGTCGCATGCAAGTTTCGTGTTCCACAAATGGGCTTCGGCACTTTATCGCTTTGTGTTAAATGATGAGATGGAGTTTGGGACACGTGTGTTTGTTTTCGTGTTGGCGGTGGTGGTTTCGACGACCTGACAGTGCCCTGCTTCTGCAGCTTTTCTTGCAGTCTTAAAACGAAGCAATTCAGCTCTTGGAGCTGCGTTGACGAACCAGCGCAATGGTCGTGTTGACATGCCGCTGGTGGCTCGCGGTGTGCAGCTTGGCCACCGCCGTCGCCTTCAAGGTATCTGCGCGTGTCGAATAGATTTCTCGGCGGTTGCTTTAGCACCCTGCGTCTTGATCGGCAGGTTGCCGAAGCACCGATGCAGATCGTCACAACCGATAACGAGACCCTCAAGGCGAAAGTGGAGGAGATCGCGGCGAAGAACATGGCGGGAGAGTTCAAGGACATGAGTGAGATCCCGAATCCTGCGAACTTCACGCTCAACGGAAGCATGCAAAATGCCTCCCAGGGTTTCTGGGCCGATCAACGACACAAGAACCCCTTTTTGCAGTACGTAGGCCCTTGTCATTCCAGCCCCAATTCTTGCCAAGGTGTTGGTGAGCTCGGGAAGAGCTTCGAGTTCATGATGCTGAAGCTGGCCCAGCTTGAGACGCTGTGCGAGTTGCAGCAGGCCGAGCTCGAGTCATTGAGGAAGACGGTGAAAGGTCTTGCCGAACATGTGGATCACCCGGACAGCGTGGCGTCTTTGGTGCAGAAAGACGAGAAAACCAGAATGCAAGAGACCCAGCAAACCCTGAAGAGGGTCCTCGCCAAGCACGCTCAGCAGCACAAGAACAAGGACTTCCATCCGAAGACTTCTCGGCAAAACTACAGCCCGGCCGACGCCAAGCCAGATTCGCCGAAACGCGCCGGCGAAGCCGGGGCGAGTGACCGAGCCGAGCTGCTGGCAGGAGGAGCCCAGCAGTCGGGGAGCAAAGGTTCGCAAAGGTGGGGTGCGGTCGGTGGCTGGGTCGAGGACCGCGTGGAGGCAAGGACAGGGTGTCTGAAGGCATGTCTTTGTGGTGAGCAATGCCTTTTCGGGACGCTATGCAGTCTCGCGTTTTCTCTCGTCAGAAAGAGCCTTCGGCCTACGGTAAAGAATACTGTCAAGCCGGGCTGGTGGTCCTGAACGTGTAGAGGGTCAGCCACTCCATTCGACGATATCCTTGATCCCGCCGGAATGCATAATCCTTCAAAAGCAAGCACAAAGGGAGAACTTACTTGACGCCATGGATCCTTCAGACGGGTTGTTTCGAGCGATTCTCTTGACGGCCTCCGTGACCTGCCTTAGTTGCTTCGCACCCTAGTCCCCCATGCAACTCTGCAATGATCGCCATGCAGGATAGCTGTTTCAGCGCCACTCATGACCCAGCAAAACGAGTTTCCGCCAAGAACACACTCCCCAGACAAGCCCAACCCACAGGGCCGAGAGACTCTGTGGCAGAAGCCCAGAGATTCAAACCTCAGGCCTCAGATCTCCCAAAGCGCAACCTCCGAGCCCAAGCACGAGGATGTCAAAAGCGTCGCTGAGAGCACAGCGGATGCCTACGAGGCAGCCGCAGACAAGGTGGCCTCCGCTTCAGGATTTGGTTCAGGAATTTGAGGCTCTCGGGCGACTCTAGGGGCTGGGTTGGGTTTGGCACTGCAAAAGGTGGCCTTCGTTGCCAATACGGTCATTGACACCGTGGAGATGGCCGTGCAGATCCTTCTGAAAGGCTTCACCGATTGGGCCGCCGACTGCGACATCAGCGGACCCAGCATTAGGGATTACATCGAGACATGTAGGACCACCGGCTGGCGAGAGGTGAAGCGCAGCGTTCTGGGTCTCACCTTCACAATGCATGAGCCCATAGTGGAGTGTACAAGAAACAGTGTCCTGATGGCGCTTGACTGGGGTAGACAGAAGTGTTGGATCCGCCTGATGGGCCAACAGAGGCTCAAGCCGGAGAAGGCTTCCGCGTAGCTTGGGCCGGGCAACTGTCTACCCAGGACAGGCTAACTTTCTCCCCCGTGATGGCGCCTTCGAGTGGAGGCGACGATGGGCATTCTCTACATATAAAACGCATGCTAAGGACAATGCAGCGGGCATTGCAAGAGGAGACGGCCGGCGCTTTGGGACCGCTTGGCCACCGACGGCTCCCGCGGACTGGATGGGGTTTCCAGCCGGCAAGGAGCAACCTCGAGAC